CTGGGACTCAAACTGTGGTTGGCCATGTGGGAGTCCAGTGCTCTTAACCACCATGCCACTTTCTGGCCCCAGGACAAATACTAAGTACAATGTTGGAAGGGAAAAAAAATCCAGAAGCAAAATATTGGAAAAGTACATATCGTACAAGTCTGATATATAGTCCTACATGCCAGTCCTAAACAAGGCCCTGAACTTTTAGGACACACCCAGTATTTTCTGTACTTCCAAGGAAAACACTGCCCAAGCAGGGAGTCTGATAGAAGACTCCCAGGTGGAGCTGGCGCCCAGACGCTGCACGTTCAGTCTAAACGTGATGAAAAGAAACAAGAGCGTGCCCTGCAGAAAGGCAAATCTAGGAAGCCACGCTTCAATGGCACACCGAGGGGAAGAGGGGGCTTTTCTGGGCATTTGAACCATAAGCCTGCTGTGATGTCTGAATTCATACCACCGTGGTGCCTCCAGAAACCTTGAGCAGAGACTTTGATACATGAAGTGGTTCCAGGCTGATGGGGCCCCAGGTGAAGAGCAGAAGCGTACATAAATCTAGCGGAGAGGGCAAGAGCGTAAGTGTACTCCGGCTTCCTAAGTGTTAAAGCGGGGAAGTGTGATTCTTAGAACCGAGGAAATAACGTGTCAATTCCAAGTAGAACTGAAGTATATGCTTCTGGTCAGCTAAAGACGTGCCTGCTGCCCCGGTCTCCGCCTCCCCAGATTTACTTGAAAATCAACATGGAACCAGAAGAGGGAAAAGTAAGACGCGTGTCCGACCTCCCTGTGCACCCACGGGGAAAACCCACACTTCCAAATGACATAACCTAACAGAGAAAAACCCCAGCCGGTGAGCTCTTAGGCCGCGGCCTCTTCCTGCCAGAGGTAACGGCAGACGAGAAGGGGCGCTGGAGGAGAAAAGAGAGCTGCTAGCAACGGGCTTGGAGTCGGTCTAAACGACCGTGGGGAACCACACGTCCACCCTGTCTTAAACTGCTGAAAGAACACAAGGTCAGAGCACCAGCCATGTGGAAGGGACTTAAAAACATGCCCAACCTGAAAGGTGGTCTTCAAAATGCACAGCTTTTGGGAGAGAAAAAGGCAAGAGAGAGGAGAGCTCTCCTTGGGATATGGGATGGGGAAAGGGAATGAGGCAAGGGGACCGCTTAGCGCTGTGCATGAAGAGGACCAAAACTGGGGAACACGCAGCCTCTTACCCCACGGTAACAGGATGAAATGATCTGGACTTCGCGATCCTGACAGAAGAGGGTGCCATTGAGCTTGAAATCCTGCAAAACACTCCGAGACCACAAACGGGAAGGGGAACAAGATTAGCAGATGGAGTTACTGCAAAAAGTCAGAAAATAAAACCAACACATAAGTGAGGAAACGCTCCCGAAAGATGAGCATGATGTAGGAAAAGCCCTGAGACAACAGCCACCGCAAACGCAGTCAGTGCACTTGAATGAGTATTTAAAGATGTGAAAAGCCACCTTGAGCACTAAATTTAAAAAAGGACAAAAGCTCCGATATGAGCTAAAAAGACAGTTGATTGAACTCAGGAAATAAATGGAAGAAATGAAAACATTGTCTCTGAAATGAAGAAAAATGGCAGCTGGCCCAAAGAGATAAGACTCCGATGAAAATTTAATAAGGGAGCATTTAGGAAAGGCAAAAACTAAACAAAACCAAACAGCTCCCATCCCAGCCCCAAACAGACAAACAAAAACAAAACCCAAGAGAATTTAAGAACAACGAAGTAACTTTAAAAAAAGAGGTTAGAAAAAGTCAGAGATAAAGTAGTGGAAGTGGAAGAAGTAGCATTTATATTATTGGCGTCTCAGAGGAAGAATCTAAGGCCAGCCAGTGGCATGGTGGTTAAAGTGGCTGGATCCCACATGGCTGACTGCACAGTTGGATTCCCAGACCTGGAGGCTTGAAAAATGCTGTGCATACACGTGCCTATGTGCCCAAAACCCCAAGAAGAGAAGGGATTATTATGTGGCCACTCCCTCCCCAGTGGTGCCTTCTCACCTCCCCTCTTTCTCTCTGTCTCTTTCTGTCTCTCTTTCCCCAGTGACTACACAACCTACTTAAAAGACTTTTCAGAGATAGCAACAGCAAAGAGACCCAGTTCCATAAAATCAAATGTTGCACCACATATCAGGAAAAATTAGCCCAGAATGACCGACTCTAGGACATTCCCCAACAAAACTAGATTTTAGAGATAAAATAAAAACCCTTGAGGTCTTCAAGCAGGAAAGATGAAATAACCTACAAAAGCAAACAAATTATTGTCATTGTATATTTAGAAAACAAGATAAAAAAACAACAATGGAAAAGCATTTTAAAAATACTTAAAGCACGAACCAATGATTTTTATATCCAGCCAAGCTGTCCTTCAAATAAACAATTTTCAATACGAATACAAACAAACAAGGACAAAAAAACAACAAAAACCACCTAACCTAGGAATTCCAAAACTGTGAGCCCTCTTGGAGGCTCTCTGGGGGACAGCTTCATCACACACAGAACAGGCCAGAACACTTGAGCACATACAGAAAACCGGTGTGTGCGTGTGCCAAGGGCAAATGTGGACGTGTGCAGGTGCTGCACTTTGACGAGTGAGAATGTGCGATTGAAAAATGGGAAGAGAGGGACCAGCAGTTGGCGTAATGGCTAGGTCGCTGGGCTCCCATGTAGTAGACCACAACTGGAGTCCCGGACCCAGTGGCTTAAACTCACGCTGGGCGCGTGTGCGTGCGTGCCCAAGATCCCGAGAGGAGAATGGAGGAGAAGGGATTGCGGCGTGGCCATCTCCCCTGGGGGGTGATTTCTCGCTTTCTGTCCCTCTGTCTCTCTCTGTCTGTCTGGCAGGTGCATGGGCCCTAAAGCAAAAACCTTGAAAAAAAATAAAAAAAAAAAGAAAAATGGGAGGAGGAACGATGGCAAGAGGAAAATAGAATCATCTTGCTAATTGGATAGAAAATAGGTGAAAGTTGAAGAATGTCAAAGAAAAACAGATACACCAATTGGACCTGTAGATGGTGTAATGGTTATGTCGCTGGCCTCCCAATGTAGCAGACTGTGGTTCAAGTCTTGAAGCTGGTGGGTTAGAACTCATGCCAGGCGTGTGTGTATGTGTGCCCAAAATCCCAAGAGGAGAAGGAAGGAGAAGGAATTGCTGCATGGCCATCCCCCTGGAGAGGGTGATTTCTTGCTTTCTGTCTCTCTATCTCTGTCTCTCCAGAGAGTGCACATGCCCTATAGGAAAAAAAAAAAAGAAGAAGAGAAAAACAGACACACCAGATAGTAAAAGATCAAATAATAAAATTAGGGACTAAGGACCTTCAAATAGGTTAAGAGCACGAAAGTAACAATGAGAACAAAACGAGAAGCCTTCGTAAATTAAAACAAAATCCAGGTTAAAGAGCAAGGACTACATTCTTGTGGAAAAAGAAAATATGCACAATGTGGTGACAGACAGACATGTCAGTCATGTCAATAAATGTCACTGGGCTCAGCTCCCCACTACAAAGGATTTTCAGTTTGGCTCATCACAAATGAAGACAGACCACTGGTCGTTGGAAAGTCACGATGCACTTCGCACAGAGACCGTAGGAAATACGCTGTGACCTTCCTGACCTACTGTGTGCTGGTAGAAGATGTATACCTGAAACAAAGGGACGCCAAGGGGCTAGGGTAGACAAATGCATTCTGGGCGAATGGAGAAAATAAATAAAGCGGCCGAAGTGATCCTGGTAAACGACAAAGGGTCCCTGTCCCCAAAGCACTATGCACGGCGGGGCAGGGCAGCTTCCAGTGCAGAAGCACCACTGGTAAAGAAGACGTGCTGAGGATTGCACGCACCAGACCACGCAGCAACCAGCTGCAGGAAGCAGCAAGCAGAGGCGCTGGGAGGATGCAAAATAGAAACAGTTCTGGAATGAAGCTAGCACGCTCCGCACACGCAGAGCAGGACAGACTGTCAGCCGCAGCACCGCCCTAACAGAACACGCACCTCCCTCTCAGGAGCCCGGGGACACTCACGGCTGCTGCAGAGATTAGTACCTTCCAGAAAGAAGAAACATCACAGGTAATGCGCTGATCGCAATGCAACCAAACTAGAAATGACTAGCACAGACAGAAAGGTGCTTCCGTGTGGGAATTGGAAACCATCCTGGACACAGTGCAGAGCTCTCTGGGAGCCAGGACAGGACTCGTGTGCAGGGAGTCACTGAAAACTGAAAGGAGGGAGAGTGTGAGGCAGCGTGAGGCAGCGTTGAGGGAGCGTGAGGCAGGCAGGGCAGTGGCTGTGGGTCTGGAGGGCAGCGGTTCCTCTGGCACCTGAGGGGTCAGCTGTGGAAGTGGGACAGGGCTGGAGGGGCGAGGTGCTCGCGGTGATCAAGCTGAGGGTTTGACTGTGGGTCTGGGGGGGCCAAGGGAGGGAGGAGCCCTGGGTCTGGAGAAGTCAGAGTGAGGGGAGGACAGGGAAGCCCCGAGTCAGGGCAAGGAGAGCGAGCGAGGGGGACCCTGACCAGGAGCTGCTCCTTCAGGGAGCAAGAGGTGACCTAGGCAGGTGGGCAGTGGGTCGGTGGCAGGTGATGTGAACTGAGGCCCTGGGGTGCAGAGCTGGGATTTTAGGGAGTGACCATAGCAGTGGTGGGGACCCCAGCCAACTTCAGGCTGCTGGCTGTGGTGGCTCCTTAGGGTCTGTGGAGGCAGAATGTTTGCAGAGGAGGATGAAGTGGTGGGGTCACTGCTGGGCGGGGGGGCCGTGGTGCTGACCCCGGCCTTGTCAGGGACCGCCAGGGTCCTGGGTCCCCTCTCCACCAGGTGACAAGCTGACACTGGGCAGGACAGATCGCTCAGAAGTCAAGCAGACGGGAGGTGGCCTACCCTCCTGAGCAGCCTAGGAGGCACACCATGTGTGAACAGGAGGGCAGATTCCCTCTGGCACCCAGAACCTGGGGATTTCCTCAGAGGACAGGCTCCAGGGGAGGTGGGCGCACCTGTCCAGGGGCAGGGAGAAGTCCAGGAAGGTGGCCACCAGCTCAGGGGCGTGGTTGCGGGCTAGCAGCGTGATGGCCAGCAATGCATTTTCCTTGGCTTGCGGGACGCGCAGAGAGCAAAGGCGCAGGTGCACCGCCCGGCCCAGGTTGGCCACCTGCGGGGAAACGAGTGCGTGACGGGGAGGTGGGGCCCGTGGGGGCGGGGCCTGGAGCCCTTCGACCAGTCCTGGGAGGTGGACCCTGACCTGCCCATCCGCTCTAAGGGGATCCCAGTCCAAGGGGTTTGGCCCACTGCTCCTGCTGGCCAGTGAAGCCCTGGAGTGCTGCTGGAACCCCCCATACAGCCTTGGCAGCTCCAGCCGCCCCTACCCTTGTCCACCGCAAGGCGGGTTTGCCTGGAGTCGCAATCACCTCTCAGGGCCCCCGGGGGCTGGCTCCTTCCCTCCTCTCCTGGGCCACTGGCTGCTGGCCAGGGTGATCCTCATCTCCCTGTCAGGCCTGGGCCCCTAGACGCTGGCTGAGGGCATCCCTCTGCCCCTCTCCCTGGCCAGCCCTCCACAGGCGCCCCAACCCCTCACGGTGTCCAGCTTGGCCCCGTGCTCCCGGACCACAGCCAGCAGTATGTCGGCGGCTGCCTGCACGCGGAAGGGGCTGGCGGAGCCCAGGTCGTGGACGGCGGTCCAGAGGAGGTCGGTCAGCTCGGCCAAGGAGAGGTGGTTCATGATCTCCTGCAGGTGCAGAGAGGCCTGTTGCTTGTGTGTGACCACCTCCCCACCTCCCGGTCCCTGCTCCCTCGCCCCTGCTTTGTACCAGGCTGCCAGAGTCTGAGCACCTCCACCCTCCAGAGCCCCCTCCTCGGGCCCCCCACCACGACCCCAGCACCCACAGTTTATCAGAGCACTGGGGTTCCTGTCCTTGCTCAGACCCAGGGCTCGTCCACACCAGGGGGCTCTGTTTGGGCAGCTTCGTCTCTCCTTCCCGAGCCTCACCTCTGCGCCCTCCCACGCCAGACCCCAGTGCTCATTATAAGCTTTAACCAGAGAGAACTTGAACTTCAGAGCTGTGGGTGCTCTTCAAGGTCACCTGGACCAAGTCCTAGGCCCAGACAGGTGCATGGCTACCCTTGGCCACTGAGTAGGGCCCGGCTGGGTCCAGAACCTAGGGCTCCTGCCCCCACGGTAGTGGTCTCCTGGGAGTGGCTCTGAGGGCCCAGGAGGGGTGAGGGGTGGGGCGTTACCTCCACAGCAGATCATGAGCTGCTTAGGGGCTAAGGAAGGGCTCTCGGGAAATGCAGGCAGCGGGTCTGATCCCTGTGCTCAGGCTTAGACCAGCGTTCTGGAGGGAGGACCTGGCTATGGACACTGCTGCCAGGGAGGCCTTCTAGAAACTTTGTGGAGAGCACTGTTGCCGAACAGGAGCCATGGGCCACATGCACATTTAGTAAAGCCAAACAAACCCACTCCCCAGTAGGGCTAGCTATGCCCGAGGGCTCAGTGGCTACAGTGCGGCTGCTGGCTGCCTTGGGTAGCACCTTCTAGAAGATCTGTCACTCGCTCAGAGCATCTTCTAGCCAGAGGCAGTCAGGATGCTGACGTGGGAGGCATAGGTGGGAAGCCTGGTGGAGTTACAATGTTTGCAAGGGTGCCGGCACGGTGCCATGTCTGCCTGCATGTGTGGGCCTTCGAATGTCTGAGACACCTGCGGGAGTGTTTCTATGCACGTAAGAATGGAAAGCCTGCTGGGACCCGCAGATGGCATAGCAGTTCTGTTGCTGGACTCGCACATGGCTGACCATGGTTTGAGTCCCGGACCTGGTAACTTGAAATCCATGCTGGGCGTCTGTGTGTGCATGCCCAAAGTTCTGGGAGGAGAATGGAGAAGGGATTGCCGTGTGGCCATCTCCCTGGGGGGTGATTTCTCACTTTCTCTCTCACTGTCTCTGTCTCTCTATCTCCAGGGAGCACACACACCCTAAGGCAAAAATCTCTTAAAAAAAGAAAGAATATAAAGCCCATGCCCAATAATGGATGCTGAGTGTTAGTCATGACCTTGTAGTTCTACAGTTTCATATGATGTTTGTGAAGATGTTAGTTAGTATGTGGGTTAGAATGCTAAAACATGTTTAGTGGGATACTTGTGATTTTTTTTAGAATGTCAGGCAATTATCAATACAGAATATTTGTTAGATTAAATTTAAAATTGTTGGCTGGAATGTTAAATTTCTGGTTAAGTCTTAGCATTCAGAACGTTCACGAGGAGACTGAACTCGGCGTGGGGGTCGGCTCCGAGTCCCGCAGTACTGCTTCCCCAGGACTGGCAGGCCTCTGCAGTGCACAGTTATGTGAGACGGAGGTGGCAGACGTTGGGTGGTGGTGATGGGGGCCATGCGGGGTCATAGCAATGGGGTGGGGATGGCGACTGTAGTCATGGTGATGGTCTGGTGACGGTGGAGGTGCTAGTGCTGTTGTTGGTGGTGATGAGCACAGTGGTGAGGGTGGTGAGGATGCTGGTGGTGATGTCATGGTGGTGATGATGATGTAGCTGGTGATGGCAGTGGTGACGGTGATGGTGGTGGTGCTGCAGTCATAGTGACAGTGATGTAGTGAGATGGTGGTGACGGTGATGGTGGTGGTGGCGATGTCATGGTGATGTAACATGTAGCTGGTGATGGTGGTAGTGATGGTGATGGTGGTGATGATGATGTGGTGGTGATGGTGGGGGTGGGGGTGACAGTGGTGATGGTGGTGGTGACGGTGATTGTGGTGATGATGATGTGGAGATGGTGGTGGTGAGGGTGACAGTGGTGATGATGATGTAGTGGTGATGGTGGTGGGGGTGACAGTGGTGATGGTGGTGGTGACGGTGGTGGTGATATCATGGTGATAATGATGTAGCTGGTGATGGTGGTGGTGACAGTGATGGTGGTGATGATGTGGTGGTGATGGTGATGGTGGTGATGATGATGTAGTGGTGATGGTGGGGGTGAGGGTGACAGTGGTGGTGGTGGTGATGGTGGTGGTGATGTCATGGTGATGATGATGTGATGGTGATGGTGGTGGTGAGGGTGACAGTGGTGATGATGATGTAGTGGTGATGGTGGGGGTGAGGGTGACAGTGGTGGTGGTGGTGATGGTGGTGGTGATGTCATGGTGATGATGATGTGATGGTGATGGTGGTGGTGAGGGTGACAGTGGTGATGGTGGTAGTGATGGTGATGATGGTGGTGATGTCATGGTGATGATGATGTGATGGTGATGGTGGTGGTGAGGGTGACAGTGGCGATGGTGGTGGTGACGGTGACTGTGGTGATGATGTGGTGGTGATGGTGATTGTGGTGATGATGATGTGGTGGTGATGGTGGGGGTGGGGGTGACAGTGGTGATGGTGGTGGTGATGGTGACAGTGATGGTGGTGATGATGATGTAGTGGTGATGGTGGGGGGGGGGGTGACAGTGGTGATGGTGGGGGGGGGGGTGACAGTGGTGATGGTGGGGGGGGGGGTGACAGTGGTGATGGTGGGGGGGGGGGTGACAGTGGTGATGGTGGGGGGGGGGGTGACAGTGGTGATGGTGGGGGGGGGGGTGACAGTGGTGATGGTGGGGGGGGGGGTGACAGTGGTGATGGTGGGGGGGGGGGTGACAGTGGTGATGGTGGGGGGGGGGGTGACAGTGGTGATGGTGGGGGGGGGGGTGACAGTGGTGATGGTGGGGGGGGGGGTGACAGTGGTGATGGTGGGGGGGGGGGTGACAGTGGTGATGGTGGGGGGGGGGGTGACAGTGGTGATGGTGGGGGGGGGGGTGACAGTGGTGATGGTGGGGGGGGGGGTGACAGTGGTGATGGTGGGGGGGGGGGTGACAGTGGTGATGGTGGGGGGGGGGGTGACAGTGGTGATGGTGGGGGGGGGGGTGACAGTGGTGATGGTGGGGGGGGGGGTGACAGTGGTGATGGTGGGGGGGGGGGTGACAGTGGTGATGGTGGGGGGGGGGGTGACAGTGGTGATGGTGGGGGGGGGGGTGACAGTGGTGATGGTGGGGGGGGGGGTGACAGTGGTGATGGTGGGGGGGGGGGTGACAGTGGTGATGGTGGGGGGGGGGGTGACAGTGGTGATGGTGGGGGGGGGGGTGACAGTGGTGATGGTGGTGGTGATGAAGATGTAGAGTGATCCATGACCACCACATGAAGAGTCAGGGACCAACTTGGGACCAGAACTGAGGCCCCTGGATCTTGCCAGATCTGCTATCCCATGACTAGCAGCCCTCCCATCTTCTCCCCTCCCTCAGAGCCCACTCATCATTGTCCCTCGTCCAGGAGAGCCAGAGCTGGACGCCCACGACCTGTGTTCGGGGGCCATGCAGCCCAAGTCCTGGACACTGGACTCCTAGTCACTCAGCTCACCTGAGGGGCCCAGGGCTCCTGCGGCCCTTCACAGCCTGGCAGCCAGAGGACCGCCTCCCCCCACCTGGCCTCCACTCTGTAGCCAGGTGCTTTGGCCTACACTGCAGCCAGGCCAAGTTTACCCTCCCGAGTACGGAAGGCTGGTGGTCAGTCCAGGGCTTTGGGTCCT